TTCTTCCACCCCTCTAGCACCACATGGACACCCTTCCGTACCTTCAAGACTCTACTTCCTCCAGAGAACTTATAACCCTTCAAATCAAGGGTGCTTAGCGAGATAAGCTTCTTCTTCAAATCAAGACCATTTCGAACCTGGCCAAATGTTCTAATTGTTCTATCTAATAGCTTCAATCTGACCCTACTAATATCAACTCGCATCTTCACTTGCAGCGACTAAAATCTTGTATTGCAATCCAAAAATGAAATTTCATACTTCATGGTTGTCATTAATAACAAAAAATCTTGAACAAAATCACAATTTGACTCTAATGCCACTTATTATAATTTGGACTAGATCGGAGATCACTTTATTGAAAGTGAAACAGCTATAATACCACTTGTTATGAAATAGGAAGGTTAAGTATGGCACAATCTGAAGTATTTATCGCACAAGCAATGACAAGATTAAAGCAAGAAGATAGATTGACAGAGGAACCAAGTAATTTTATTGACAATCAATAGAGAGAAAATTACAATATCTGAAATTTCTAAACTGAATGAAGAATCTACTATTTATAAAAGACGTCCCAAACCCTAAAAATAACCTAAAAGACAGAAATTATGTCAAAATACGCGTGAACTGACATAAAGCGAAAAACTTGGATGACACTATTACTCGAGTGGTAGTGAGCGATGGGCGGGCGACAGTTCTCTACTTCCAAAACTTTGCTTGTTGCTCGAATTACTAGCTAGTGAAAAGACTAGTGAAAATCCAACGACTTTTCTTCCCAATCCGTAATTTTGATCTTTCCATGACCACTTCAACTAGGACTCTAATTCCACCAGAATTTAGGTCACATTCAACTGTCTCAAGAAAGCACCAAGGGCCTAGTATGAAAGATTGATAGGGACTTTATCAAAAATTAATTTCTAAAGAGTACAAACGAGCATATTTTGCATGTAAAAACAAAAGAAGCTAATGAGGTATTGATTGTATGTCTTTATGTGGATGATTTGATTTGTACTGAAAATTTTGATGCTTAATGATTTCAAGAGGATTATGGTAGATGAATTTGAAATGACTGATCTAGGTTTAAGGAGTTATTTCTTGGGTTTGGAGGTGAAACAATGTGATGTTGGAATTTTTCTTTCACAACATAAATACATGAAATATCTTTTTGAGAAATTTAACATGAAAGATTGTAACCCATTTAAAATTCCAATGGTTACTAATCATTTATACGGCTTCGATGATGGAGAAGAAAAGGCAGATTTTTAGGTGTATCCAAGTCTGGTGAAGATTGCTCTAAGATTTTCAAGTGTATCAAAGTCCCATGAAGATTGCTCTATCTCACAAATAGTCGTCAAGACACCTTGCAAGCTACCATTTTCCTATCATGATTTATGCATAATCCAAGAAAAATTCATTATGGTACTGTAAAGAGGGTGCTAATATATTTGAAAGGAATATGCTCCTACGTTATTTTCTACCCTAACATTAATAATTTTGAGTTTTATGGCTTTTTTGATAGTGCGATTGGAAAGGTTCCATAAACGATTGCAAAAGCGCTATGGGCTCTCTGTTCATGCTTGGATCAAATGTCATATAGATGTGTTCAAAGAAGTAGCAATCCATCGCTCTATCATCTTTTGAGGCTGAGTACATGATTGTTATTTCAGTAGCCTGCCAAGCAGGGCCGGACCCAAGGGGGGTCCCAAAGGGTCACTTGACCCTCCAGTTTTTTCAGTTTTTTGTCTTAGTTTTCAAGCTCATTTTGAAATATCAAACGAAGTTGAAATAATACATTCTTAATATTATTTTGAAGTACTCATGGTTTAGTATTTAACATCGTTAATAGTGTGCGAAATGGCCAATCGTAGCAAATGTTACGATGCGTCAAATTAGGCCGTTTCAAACTAATATTCCGAGAATTTTGATAACAAACTAACTTTAAAAATTCTTTGACGATTATACACTAGCCGTGTCTATAAATCTTCTATATCCTCTCAAATCTCATTTCGAGAACTATATCATAAACATATTGAATTATCTAAATGAATATCGAAAATAGTTAAACATACGTCAAACATGTATGTTAAAAAGAGATGTATAACTCGCCTTTTTTGAAAAAATTAATTATTTTATTAATGTTTATTATTTTTGCGCAACAAATTTCTCAATATAATTTACATCATTTTATTAGGAAATTTTATATGTGGTATGATGTCAAATTTTATTTTATTTTTTGGACGTAAAAATTCTTAATAAAATTTTTATTACTTCATAAGGATTATAAATTGTTATACTACTTTTTCATCTGAATTATTTTTATAGCTGAAAAAAATTATATATAAAAAAAGTTCAATCATTTTTAGGATTTTTTTATTATTATTTTTACCTTTTCCTCTTGATCAATTATTTTTTTTTCAAATGATGTCAAAAATTTTATTAGGAAATTTATTAGATTATTTCAAAAAAAATAATTGACTGAGAACAAAAAGTAACAATAATAATAAAAAAATCCTAAAAATGATCGAATATTTTTTTTTTATACATATACAAATTTTTTATATGTAAAAATAATTAAGATGAAAAAGTAGTATAACAATTTATAACACATATAAAGTAATAAAAAAATTTTCGTCACTTTTTTTAAAAGATTGATCGTGACCCCCTAATATAAAATGTCTGCGTCCACCCCTGCTACCAAGCAATTTGGTTAAGGAGAATTTTATAAGATACGAAACATGAGTAGAGGGAGGCAATGAAAATCTTTGCAATAATCGGTTTGCCATTGCGATGGCAAAGAATCCAATTCATCACAATCGAACAAGACACTCAACATCATTTTATAAGAGAGCCGGTTGCTGAAAGAAGTATTAAGTTGGAGTATCATAATTCAAACAAGCAAGTTACTGATTTATTCACAAAGTCACTTTCTCTGAAAAAATTTGCTTATTTTAGAAATAATTTAGGTCTTGTAGATTTTTTGTATTAAGGGGGAGTGAAGTGCAAAAATAAATTAGCATAGGTCATAATTAATCATGTTTTTCATTCTTTGTTTGAGAGAGTCAAGGGCTATTACTTAGTGCCTTGTTTTATGCTTCTTTTTTGGAGTATACATTAGTTTTGATGTTTTGTTTTTCTAAAAGCTTGAAAGTAGTTGTCTTCCTACTTGTATATAAGATATTCACAGTTGAGTAAAGTAGTTTTCTTTCTTTGCTATTTCAAACTCCCTTTTTCAACAATATTTTCTATTATATCAATAATTCAACATATCGCAAAAAATCCATTTATTATACATCAAATGCTATCAATAAATCAGAATTTCTAGAATACGTTAAAAAAATTGAATATCAGACTGTTATATGAAGGTGTACCAAATCACACCTAATATATATCTTCATGTAATTAGTTTAACTTCTTTGTAGACATTTCTTTAAAAGAATTTACCATGCAGGGATCCATAATCCTCCAACTAATTCTGCATAAAGAAGCTGATTCCATGTATCAGGAACGCCGGCTATACACCAATGGGTGCAATCCATGCCTCTGAAGCCATTATACATACTCGGGTGTCCATCTTTTCTCAGCTGTGAAAGAGTAGTAATATCAAGCAAATGCACTGGTTTTGTAATCCTACTCAGAACTTCCTTCAAAACTTTCGATGCCAATGGTAGGCCACTTGGATATGTCGATCCATTCAAGGGTGTTGTTTCTTTGGCGCAATTTGTTACACCATCCTCGTCCCACTCCATCCCACTAATTGAACATCATCAGAATACAATGTTAACACTTTTCAGAGGATTGTATTATCTTTATATGTAGCTAGTTTAACAGTTGTAACATCAAGTAAATTGATTATAATTTTATAGCATTTACAGTCCAGACCCATATGTAATTTCTACTTAATTAATCTTAACTATTTGACGTTGGAAAATTGTATGATGCAGAAAATTAATGAACACATCCACAAATGGGGATCTCTAATCGGGGAAGATGAAGTGGGATGAGGTGGAAGGTGGGATTGGGGAAGAAAAATAAAATTTTAAAGGTTTGAAATTGTGGTTGGTACAGATAAAGTTTTCGGTTTAAATTCCATAAAAAAAATAAAAATAAAAATTAAGGATGAAACTTGCAATTATTCCTTTTACTACAAAAAAAAAAATGCGGCTTCAAAGACAAAAATTTTCGTCATTGATGCCTTAAATTATGTCGCTAACGACTTTCACAAACAGAATTGATCGGTTGGAAAATCTGTCGGTATTACCCCCGTCGCTAATTTTATCGACAAATTACCTAGGTCATTGGTGATTTACTGACGGAAGAAGCGGTTAGTGCTTCCCAACGGCTATTTCCATCACTAATTAGCAATAAATTTTTTCATCACAAATTATCTACAAATTTTGTTCATTGATGATTACCAACGGATTTTCGTCTCTAATTTGAATTAAAATATTAAAAAATATATGATTTTATTTTAATAATTACTTTCTCGAAACAGTCCATATGACACCAGAAAGTCGAGCAATTCACTCATTCTGTATCAGATTCTTGAAATTTTACAGATCCAAGTTCATACTCGTGAGATGTATAATTTACAATGGATTTAAAAATCATTACTCCTACAGGCTTCAACAAAAGTTTTACCTGAACTTCTTGATTGCAGTTTAAAACTACTTCATTGAACCAATAAGGGTGGTTTGAAGGGAGCACATCTCAAGCTGTTGGAAAATGTCATATAAAAACTCGAATCGCCACTTTGTATTCATGCCCATCTTCAAAACACATCTCAATTTGGAATATATCATTGTTGCCATTTTTTCAAATGATTTCATTTCTTCAAAATGCATTGCATTAATTTCATAATAGACTGCTGGAAAAGTAGTAATCAGTTGAACTTTGACCTGGCATGTGTATTTGAACAGTAACCAAAAGAAAGCTAGGAAGAGAGAGAGAGAGAGAGTAGAAGGGGCCAGAACAAAGCCTCAGCTTCCAAATTGAGATCATTTCCCCTATGTGATGTTGAGTGTGTGCCCAAGGAAAAGAGAAATCGGATCCCTAACTGGGTGGGTTTTCTCAACATCTGAATAGGGTGAAATGGGTTGGGTGGCGGGGTGAGATGGAGGGTGTAGAAGAGGAAGAAGAACTGGAATTAGCCATGGATTTCATTATGTAACTAGCTTGGAGTAGTAAAGTTTTTGGCTTTACGTCTGTGCCTTTGAGATATAAATGTACAAGAAAACGATTGAATTAATTTTTAATCTGAAGGGTTTGGGAGGAAATGAAATATTTGAGTGGGAATTGGAGGGAGGGAAATGAAAATTTCAGAAGCAAGACAAATTTTAGAGGGGAATTGAAATTTTTTGAATTTTTCGATGGAATTTTTCGTTGGTAATTACATAATGCTTTTAAAAATTTAATTTCAATGTTTACCAATAGATTTTTTCCGTTGGTAATTTATTTTATCATTTTTAATATTTTTTTCAACGAAATCATCCATTGAGATATTTTGTCACGAAGTTATTTAATTTATTATTTTTAAATTTTTGCCGACGAATTAGTAACAAAATTGTATCAACAAAAATCTTCCGTTGGTAATTCTGTCATTAATTTAGTATTTAATTTCTAATAATAATAAAATAGTAATCCGTTGCTAATTTGTTGTAATTTCTTTGATAATAGCAACGAAGTTGTCTGTCGCTAAAATTCTGTTTCTATTGCCTCCTTTTCTAGTTGTGTTTTTAATTTGTGATATTTTTACTGTTTTTAATGCCTAACTTGACGAAATTGGACTGTAGGGGGTGGATCGCACTTCAAAGATGATGATGGGGGGGGTTCTCGCACTTCAAAAGTTATCTTCCGCACTTTTAAGTTTGGATTAAACTATTTGTACACAAAGATTTACACAATCTTTTACACACACAACACATGGTGGCCCCCTATTGGAGGGGTGGCTGGTGGGCCAGCCTCCCCTCCAATAAGGAGCCGTCACGTGTTGTGTGTGTAAAAAATTGTATAAATCATTAGGTGAATGTAGCATGATCCTTTAAGTTTCATACACTAATGTTCTTCTTTCAATTGCATGAGGTGGGGGTATTGCATAATGGGTCAAAAAGGTGGGGAGTATTGCAATAATAAGCCCTTAAAATATCCAATCTTGGACCGAGTTGTCTATGAGGACCCACTTACTACAAACCTACGGTTAGAGCCTTAAGTGCACTGTACGTAGAAACTAGAGACTGTATCTATGAATTTCCATGTTCAAAATATTTTAAGAGAAGTAACCTCCAGATTAAGCCCCGTTCGTTTTTTATTAAATTTTAATTCTAATTTCAAGTCAAAGTCAACAATTAATTTTAACCACACACTTTATGAGGTCCACACATTTTATCAACTTTTATCAAAATCTACTAAAAATCTGATTTAAATTTATACTAAACATTGACTTTAATTTAAATAGGAATCAGAAATCTTACTTGTAATGGGATGGAGATATCCCTTGAAAGAAAACTTTGGTTTTACTTGGATTCACATCTGACTCAACCCACTTTCCCCAAGTCATTAGAGCTTTACGAAAAGCAACCATCCTGTCCATATCCTTAAGTATTTTCCCATTTTCTTCAATGTAATCCCACCTGCAAAATTATAATAAATATTTCAAATAAATTCATTTTCAGCTTAAATCGCTCAAAATAATTCTTGAATATGCAAGTTTCTAAGTATACTTACGGTTGTTTTGGTCCTCTACGGTACCACCAAAGCCAAGTGTTGAAGATTAAAACATCGGCTTGCTTCCACATGTCTCCATTTATAAGAGAATCGAGTTTCAATATTCGTCCAATTTTTTCCATTTCAATGTCTACTAAGTAATGCGACTGAAATAATATAATAGAAACTCCATAGTCCTGCAACATTCAACCATGTTAAAGTTTTAATATCATTAAACGTTTAAGTATTCAATATATTTCAAAACATGAAATAAAAAATCTTGGAATTCAAAAAAGAAATAAAAAAGCTTGACTTATTTCATAATTTAGACTATTTCAGTGGCAATATAAAGGATTAAGCCCCTGTTTGTCACCTATTATTCGACAAAATTAAGAGTTTTGAATAATATGTGTTGGAGAATGTATAGTTAAAATGTAAAAAAACTTTATTGGCCGTCAAACATGTCCAAAAGAAGAAGCAACCATTTCGATTATTGCACTCTTTTATCGTAGCTTGTACTACTTACCAAACATAAGTTTTTTAAAGTCAAACTTAGCCCTTTTAGATTTTCCTTCCATAAAGTGAAATTGTATCACAAAATCTACTTGATAAATAAATCCGACTATTTTTTCTCATTCTTTCGAGATAAAACTGATTATTCATTCATTCAGTGGTTTCATATCGAAAAATAATCATAATAAAAAAGAAAATATCATTAATAAAAAATAAAAACATAAACTATCATTAATATCCTTCCTCCGCTAATTGTAAGAAAGAAAAAGAAAGAGATAAATTGATTTATTTGCCAAAATAAACACATGCTGATAAGAAAAGGAGAAGATGAAATGTATTTATTTTCAAATATATATATAAATAAATAGACGCATATATTTATGCATTTATACGTATATTAAACAAAATTATGTACCTGAAATGTGACAATAGAAGTTGTGTCATTTGTTTCCCGTATGATGTTTGATCCGTGCACGGCAGTATGAAGAAGGCATAAAAGTGATTGCAAATGATTGAGACTCACAGAATCCCCAATAAACATGATTTTCTTGCCCTTTAATCTTCTCAAAAAGTCTTTACCATCAAACCTGCAATATTTAATCAAAGAAAAGCAGGTAAAAATTTAGCTAATCAAGCTACAGTAACATAATGGTTGATATAATTATTGACATAATGTCACGTGGTATCACATCATTGGATTATTTTAAACACAGCCAACTTCTCCATCAAATCATCCGTTCACAACTGGGATCATATCACTGCATTTGTTACAATTTTTCTATCCAAGTGGCAAAATCCAAATTTAGCTGTATTGGTATTCATTTTTTCAGAAGTTCAAAAAAATAACGAGTTTCGAAGAAAATATTGCAGAGTCAAATGCCATCATCATTTGAAGGTAATTAGTGTGAAGCCATTCTTCTTGGACAATCCCCCTGGTTGTCTAGGGGGTTATGTGGCCTGGTTGTTGTCCAAGAAGTTTAAACCATTAATGTGACGACCGTTCTTAATGGCCAGGGCAATATCAAGTATCTCTATCCCAAGTGTGAAAAGACATCTAGCTGATATATTTGGGCATGTTTGGCAAAGCTTAAATTAAATTTAAGTTGACCAAATACAGTTTTTATTCCACATAATTTGTAGGACCAACGACTAATACTAACTTATTTCTTAGAACCCACGACTTATAATCACTTAAAAACATTACCAAACAATTACAGAAGGGCAATTTGTTTCTCTTCCCATCATTTCTGTGCATTCCATTTGTTTTTTAGCATCAAACAAGAAAGCCAGAAAAGTTAAGAGAAATATTAATTAGAAGACATACCTGGGTAAGTCACAACCATTTGGTTGCCATCTATATTTAAGGTACTGATGATCAGGACGGCCATACTTCAAGCAGTCGAATTCTTTGCGAATAGATGGACATGCCCGCGAGTCATAAAGAGGATAAGATTCATCGTAAACCCACTTTCCATCATATAAATTGCAAATCTGTTTCTTCCCTTTCCATTTCCCAGAATTTGCTGTGCACAGACATGAAAACCCCACAAAAATGGCCCCAAGAACCCGAACAAAACTCCTTATTTCCCTATACATGTTTCTCTCTCCTCTTTTGTGTTTGCAGGGTGTTAGGAGAGAGACAAAGAGAATAATGAGAGAATCTGAAAGCAATGCAATTTATACTAAGCTCATGTATAATTCCCTTTGATTCAAAACCTTTTTTTTTTATTACATATTTTCAACCACGTGCACATCCCGCGATTTACCTCCTTCACAAGCTCTAGGGGCAGGACAGTGAAAGCCCTCAATTAGGGCTCAACCTTTAAATATTATGCAAGTAAATTTAAAATTCTTACATTCTCTGAAAAAATATTATTTAGAACATCGTTTTCCACCAATTTCTCTTTATAAAGAGAGTCCAATGTGGGCTAAATACTATAATAGAGCGCATTTAACAAGAAATTACAGAAACCAGATTTTTTAATTTTTTGGTTTTGTTCGAGCTCTAATTTTTTTTTTTTAAATTAATTTTGTAATAGTGATTTTTTGAAAAAATGTGACATGTTATTGAAAATGAATTTTTATTTGAGGTTGTAACTTATAAGGGACAATTTGTTATAGTCATTAGATGGCTACATATGAATTATTATGACGGATTGTCAGAATAAGATTCCGTGGCAAATAGAAATCTTGTGATAAATCACAGACAAAGTTGACTTTTTATATCAGAAAATTAGGTAGAAATTCCCAGATTTGTATAAACCAGTGCATGAGCGAACATGGTTTCTATATATAATTAAGGTACTGCGCCCCGGGCACAGTCCAATGATGCAAAGAACAGGAGTGAGGTTATTTCACGCCTTGTTAGCAGCCACAGTGTGGGGGTTCGATTCCTGAAACATGAAATTGGACTCCTTGTAAGGACAGTGTACAGACAGCTCTTGTTTTCTAACATGTTGGGGCACATCCCGCGATTTACCTCACTCACAAAGTTTTAGGGGCGGGACGGCCTTCAAAGTTGGAGTTAAACATTTTTTTTTTTATAATTAAAGTACTGTGTCCTCACATGACATGCGTCACACCACACTATTTAATATTGGCCTACTTTTGCGAGTTTTTCGTACACAACATAAAATAACATAGGAAAGAACTTTTGCAAATTAGTTATAAAAGGACTAAAGATGGACCACGAAATTTTTATACATCAATGTGGTCAAGTATAGAAATATGTTATATGTGAATACAAGTTTTAAAAATCTTATGCAAATATGCATACAAGAATATATATGAATGTGGTCAAATATAGAAATACAGTAAAATCATTATAAAATGATTGACAAAAATTATTTTTTTAGAAGGATTACTTATTTATCAATAAAGTGACATGTGTCGAGGAGTAAGTATAAGTCGAAAGATACCCTCATCTATGTGATACCTATAAGGAGAAGTAATGCTATTTGTATATAGCATAATGCTATTTGTAGAGTAATTTTTGTATTTTAACATATAAAATAATATTAAAATAAGCAAATGCTTTTATAAACATAGGCCTTCCCGAAGCTTGCATAGGCTTGTAAGTTTGAAACTTGGTTTTTGTTGGAAATGGTGTTTATTAATAAACCAATTCAAAAATGAATGAGAAATTGTGGTTTTGGAATAGTGGCACATGTTTGGAAGGTTGCATGGTTTGGCTCAAATCCTTTCATCACACCACTCCATTCTCTATATAAAGGACCCCTTGGATGACTTTGAGAGTACACCATTTGCATATTGAGCATTCATTCTTCTCAAAATTGCAATTCTCTTCTTCTTCATCTCTTTTCATATATTAGTTTCCTTGTAGAGGGGAAACTCCGTCGAAAGTTCGCCGGATTTGTGGTTTGAAGTGCTACTACGACAAATCGAATCCGTTGTATCTTGGGAGACAATTGCCGCCAACCGTGAGCACCATAGCGGGGCAATATTGTCTTAAGGAGAGAGTGAATACACTTGCCTCGGATTTAATCTTCGTTTTCTACTCCTTCTTATTTTAATTTTCTTATTTGGTTTTATGGTTTTGTACTACATTTCCATTTCATAAATTTGTGATTTAAAATGCACTCACAAATAACCATCTTTACCGCTCACAAATAAGCCCGGTTCCCAACAATCTTAAGACAATATTTTATCGATGGTTGTTTTGTGTTCTAATCAAATTATGTTCATTGTGTAGTTTATATTTTAATTCTTGGTGGAATCTGAATCTGGAAAATCAGTGTGTTGGTTTCTCTATTGCCGATGGAAGACCATGATGAAACTATAAGACCATTTTAAGAAATCACTTTGGCGATGATCAAGTTGATGGATCAAGATTTGTTTATGAGGATCAATTTTTGGATGAAATTCTGCCAAAAGAAATCTGGAACGTGTTCGAAGGAAAATGTCTCCATTGAAGAATGGTAAGGATTGAATCCCGTTTGGTAAGTCGAAACTACGATTCAATTTAGTGAACATAAGAGGTACGTTTTGTGAATATATTATGCACATTATTGGTATGATATTACTAACAACCCGAAGATGAATATTAATTCAATTCTCGTACATATCATATTCACGTTCAAGGAATTTTATTGTGCACTGTTGATTCCATACAATGTGATACTGCATAATTTATATATTATGCATCTTGGAATTCGTACAAGCATACAAATTTGTAAGTTTATGATTAGTTTAATCATTTATGGTGTATGTCCAGTAAATTCCAAAATTAGCAGCATACAAATTTCATATGTTGGTTAATCACTTTCTAGCTTTTTAATTCAACGGAAGTTTTGTGCCATACGTTGCCCAAGGAATTTTGACATAAACTGATTTTTAAAGTCAGTTTGCGCATATGCCAACCATCACGTTCTTTCGTGTTTAAGACTGCTTCAAATTCTGAATGCTGTTGAATATTTCTGGTATGATTCAAAAGTCGGCAGATAATGGTATTGCTGTACATTCTCGAAACGGTGCAATCCTATTTATTACATAAATACTTGGCTAACCCTGCACGTGTCTTTCCAAGATAGTTGGTTAATTTTGAACAGGTATGTGTGTTTCCCCGAAATTGTGAAGGAAATGGGATCTACTCGACCTGGTAAGCGTTTGACGACTAAATTCTTATGCAAGTGCTGATCTTAGATTCTTAAGTATGCACCTGTTGATATACTTGATACATAACTGGAAATTCAGATTGCATATGTGTCACTATGATTCATCATTTCCAGAATTTTGCACTTTGTCATGAGATTTTAATTGTGCATAATATATGCGTATGTGAAATCTAGAAAAGGCCAGAAACCAGATGTTTAATTAATTTGAATGGTTCTTTTGGTGCTTTTATATTCTACTTTGAATCTGAAATCCTACTTGAAAACACCAGTTTTGTATCTGGGTTCAATTTGTGAAGAATTAAATTGCCATTCTAAATCCCGTCGAATGGTAATACATTTGTTGTGAATGTGAATCTGAATTGCCAATCATTGTGTTCCTTCAGAAACGTCGAATTGGGTTTTTTGTACAAAAACCGTCTGGTCGAACAAAATTATTGCTACTGGTTATAAATAATTTTATGAACCAATTGTATATTTGCATGGCTGGAATTAAATATACATGGCTAGAATTATTACATGCACATATGATAAATATATGAACACCATATCAGCACATGGAGATAAATCAATTATGAAAAGTGTCTGATCAATTTATGCTTATAAATCTGCTTTATATGCCTACATGCATGTTATATATATTCCAGACTAGACACTTACTTGAACTTGGAAAACTGAAAGTGACATGATAAATTAGATGGTTAATTTCATGTCTTGTTAAACTCATATTAACTTGAGTTAATGTTGATAGCCTCATTTAATCATATGGTATTAAGTGAGATGAATTTATGTCAATTATATTTGCATAAAGTATGAAAATTGTGACTTATTCTAGTAGAAAGTGCTCGTGAAATTATTGAAACATAGAACATCTTATAGAGCACAGTTTATGTTTTTTTTCCATATGATTGTGACAAAATTGTGTTTTGTCCAAATGTGAATAAGATGAACATATACTTTATGGTTTGACATGATATAATATTATCTTATGTCACAAAAAGCAAAAAGCAATTATTCGCTTATGTTTGGAAAAGTAATAACTCTTGGGAATCAAGATGATTAGTCTTATTCATTGATGAATTTGACTTCAATCATAAAACCAAATTGAGTTGGTTTATGCTTGAAAAGCATGGTAGGTCTATGAGATGACCTTGATCAAATTGTGTGATCAAAATTAAATAGTGGATTGAAGTACATTGTGAATTAATGATAATTATCTGAAAGTATGTAGACTTTCACGATCATTATTGAAGTGATAAGAAATTGAACTACAAAAGAGTTAATAAACTCTAAGTTCAAGTTTAATCCCGAATGTGGGGGTTGACATTTAAACCAAAAGGATTTATCTACATTTAAAACTTTTGACACCTTTTAATACAATGAGTATTTTGTGTCATAAATTGCCTGAAGAATTTTGTTTGGAAAAGTAATAACTCTTGGGAATCAAGATGATTAGTCTTATTCATTGATGAATTTGACTTCAATCATAAAACCAAATTGAGTTGGTTTATGCTTGAAAAGCATGGTAGGTCTATGAGATGACCTTGATCAAATTGTGTGATCAAAATTAAGTAGTGAATTGAAGCACAACTTTGTTGGTCTATGTGACAACCGTGATTTAAATAATCACAACTTCAAATGAAAATTGAGTTTTCATTTGTGTGAATTGACGATCACTATTTGAAAGTACTTAGACTTTCTCGAAATGCTCGATATGGATATCATCTAAATAATAAATGGATTGAACTATGAAAGAGTTAATAACTCTAAGTTCAAGTGTAACCCAAAAATGTGGGGGTTATCATAAATGCTTGAGAACTTATACGAAAGGTTCAAAACGTACGTACATTCCTAATTTAGGAATTGTGGGGGTAACTTAAAGTTACACTATTCTGTACTTCTCAAGAAAATGGAAAAGACTCCATATTAGTTGTGGAAAAGTCATCATTCATCCTATCAACATGTAAAAGTGTGGGGATGTTTGGCAAAGGTCAAAGTTCCTAACAAATAAAGATTGGTCCCAAAGTGATTGATTGCATATTTATTGGATACACCAATAAATAGTAA